TTTTTTCGTTTACCTCTGACAGTTTTTATTTGAAAAATTCAAATATTGTAAGAAAAACCATCGAGTCCCCTCCACAAGCTCCTGAATTTCAATTATTGTTCATAAATAATCGAATAAAGGGAAAATTTAATTCAGAGAAATGCCGTTCTCCTAATATTGTAAAGAGGTCCAAAGGAAAGGTAATCCCTCCAGTACTTCCATTTCTTTTGATCATCCGCACTCTCTTTGCCACGTCGTCCGTAAGAATATTTCATCCCTTTCATCCTGGGAAAAGACCATCGTCCAAAAAATAGAGATCCCCCGTATAATTTTTTTCTTTAATTCCTCCCCCCCAAAAAGCGAAATAAATGACTTATTCCCAAAGAAAAAAATTACTCTCGGACTTGACATTATAATTGCACGTGATTTTCAGTGAATTGTGGGGGAATTATTTCGATTTGCAACGCAGAAATTAATGGAATATTTTAATTTCAATAGACATTACGGAATTATTGGAAAAATGGTGGGATTATAGAGCGCAGCCATTAGTTGAATCAATCGAGTATCGGTAATACCTCCCTTCCCCTCAAATAATCAACTAGGAATATGTGAAAACAAATAGGGTGCTTATTACCGACAATTGGCGCAATAGTAGACCACCTATCCACTAAACCCGGAAATGGAGAGAGAATGGAAAGAGAGATGGATAAATTACGGGAATTTAATCATCGATTTATGGTTTTCAATGACTCCTCATTTTACAATTTTGTGCTTGAATTCCGGGGGCAATGGGGGATGCTCCCGGTTTGTAAATCGGATAATGAGTTCGTTAAATGGTCGTACATTCGATGTAATTGGTATTCCATTATTTTCCCCAGAACGGGGGTAAATGGGCCTGTTCTTGTTCCAATGACGTAACAATTTACATATTATTTATATCCGCTCTATTGTTTTGCGTGCTAAAGCCACAATTTTCTCCGAGATTATCGGTAATTGAATGCAAAAAGTCAACAAAATGGCACGGATTACTCCTCGATTTTCTAGCACTCAGTAATTTTGAGAGTTAATATTTTCCTGAGAACTGCTTTGATGCGCTAATTTATTCCGAAGTCCTCGGAACTTTCCTGCCTCGTTTTTCCTCCCCAATTTATTATCCCCCGTCTGGCCCAAATTCATTAATAAAATTCTCCATGTATACTGGACTAAGCGAATCGAATTAGTAGGACAATCCCACGTAACTGGTCTCAGCCCGGAAAAGGGATTTCGATCGAGTCACGCTCTGGATATAAATCCGCAGTGTGTGCTATCAAAGACCTGTCGTTGCCGGAAACTACCCCCCCGGAGTACTTCCAATGTACACAGAATACTCGGGTGAAAGAGTAAAAAATAAAATGAACGAAAAGAATAAGAAATCGATTTCAACTCGTACACTTCGTAAGAAAAGTCGAGAGGGGAGGGCAGTAATTTCCGAAAGAAGTGGAGACTCTGACTACCGTACAGTTGGCAATTTCTTGAGTGTACTGAGTGTCACAGTGGAAAATATATTGAATCTACCCCAGACTACAGGGTGCATCCTACATATTTACAATCCCTATAATTTTCTACCTCGAATATTTATTTTTCAATTTTTACACGCGTGAACTGATAAAAAAAAAAGCATTGCCATTTCGTTTCCATTGTTATCAACATGTGGATTAATTCCGCAGATATGAAACAATGGCTGATATTTATTAACGTTCAAATGGAAACTGCAATTCGCGATCTCTAATTCGTCGGTTGGAAAAATTGAATTTTTGGAAAATACACCACAAAGGGGAGGGTTAAAGCTGTGACAATCGCTCGCGATTATTCGTATATTGTTGTTCTCGTCATGCACCTGTGAAACGTGGGAGTTTTACTCGTGAATTTCCATAAACAAACAATTTCACACGGATCGCCATTGTCCCACGGTGGTTTTTTTCTTCTCGCAAATACATATCGAAATATGGATGAATATAGAAAGGGAAAAATCATTGCTGGCTCGACGATAGGGATCCACAATGAATAATAAAATATTCTTTTTTTCTCGAAACGGGGAGAGAAAATTCGTGATTTATGGACGTTATTTTACATGTGAATGGTCGATGATTTTAAATGGAAATTAATTACTCCACAGACGCATTAACGGACCAGTGAATTCGATCAATTTCAAAGATAGGCCATAGTATTTCCATAATTATTATTGATCAATGGAAAAATAAAAAAATGTGTTACTGAGATAATAATTACACCAATAATACTTAAACAATTGGACTATTGGTATTTTTTATAATTCCCGCTGATATCGTTTTGCGCATCGAGATGGGTGAGAATATTTTGGAATCACTCGCGGCTTTTTTAATATTATAAAAATTGCAACTCACTTTGACACGTAGCAAATGCTGCAAGCTCTGCGCCTGAGTGCTGTTCGGCAGTGGATTATCCCCACCGAGTCTAGCAACCGCAATTACATTCTCCCTCGTGATATTGTACAAGAAAAGAGTGCATACCGTCTGAAACGGGAATGTAAGAGGATGAAAATGAGTTATTATTATGTAGTCGCGTGCTTTTTGCATGAGACTATAATGCAGAGGTTGCGAAATTCAATGAAAACGTAATGGATGGGCTGCATAGGTGAACCATTTTCGTTCCATTCCCATAATTTCCTAAAAGTAATAAAAATCAAAGAATCAATCACCTGATTTTTCGCTTCCTCGCGCATAAAACTATCGAGCGAGTTGACCGCGTCCAGCACAGTCTGATTATTATGACTCCTGAGTAGATTTTCATCTTCCTCGCTGTACCCGAGAAACATGAAGACCCCATGAGGTATACTGTAAGACTCTGTACAGAAACACAATAAATTTTAGCATAAACACATTACATAACTCGGAGTGAGTCACGATTGCTCAAACGTCTCAAAGTCAAGATTCTTGGCACGCGTCACTCCGCCCCTCTGACTCCATCCTCATTTCGTATGTGTGCAAAACAAGTGGAGATCACAGAGTGGGTAAGAAGTGGAATGAGGTAAAGGGGTATCCCAGAGCAGTGCCAAACCAAGCGAGAACAGCTTACTACTCACCCGGAGAAGGCCGCATGCATATGAAACGACCGCTGTAGCACAAACACCGGCCACGATAAGCCTGGTAAGCTGGTGCCGCATGGTTGTAAAAGGCAAAGTCAGTCTTGCAGGGTGACGACTCGACGCAAATTGTATTACAGAGGAGCAGTTCACCCTCACCACACTGGCACAACTCTGAGCACTCTGGCTCATCCTCGCGATAAAGCTGAAACAAAAATAAAGGCCAATTATTCCACTGATGGCTCGCACCATCATTCGATGACACATCATCACGCAGTATGTCATGTTGAAAGAGACCAGTGATTCATCTCTAAATGAAAATAATTGGAATTAAACTGGAGGATTGAGACGATGATGAAGTGGTGGTCCTTGATGATGATGCTGTGTGATGATTGTGGGGAGGAAAAGGAGGGGATGTAATTGTTATGAATTTGTCTTCGGAAATTGTATATACTTGGATTATAATTACTTGAGAAAGTGGGTGGGGATTGCTGACGATTATCGCTGTTGTTGAGAGATAACATGTTTGATTTGGAGGAATATATAGACATAGTTTCGGGGTGAGACTAAATTTCAAGAGTTTGTAACTGGAATGGATGGCTTGGAGTGTGCGAATGGTGCTCTGCGCAATTGGGGGAGACAGGAGGAAATGAGAGATCTTGAACTTCAAATCTATGGCTACAGTTTTTTACATTGATATTGATTATTTCTTGAAAAAAAATTTTTTTCTTTGTTCTATATAAAATAAAAGAATTAATTTTTGATCGATCATCAGAATATTTCGGTCTGAGAAAGAGTGAATCCCTGATGAAGACTGAAAATAAAATGGTATATGAGAGATGACTGAAAATTTGATGACTCATTAAAGATAATTACCCATTAAAGATAATTAAAGATAATTACCCAGTCTCTCAATTTTTTATACTATTGGACCTGCAAGTGGGTTTTTATTATTTATATCTGCGAATAGTTGATTTCTGGATAAATTTATGGACTGACGCTGCACATTCGCAATCAAGGAAAAATTTCAACGGGATGGCTTTCGGTATGGACACATATGGATTCGATACATCGGCACTGATATTTAATTTTCTCTAAAAATAGCAGATGCTGTGAACTTACCCTTTTGGCTTTGCCAACGCGAATGTACTGGTGGTTTTGTCTCGCCCTTTGAACCACGCAAAAACCTGAAGAAAAAAAATCAACGTGAAAAAATAAAGACCACATTCACACTCCCTCCACTTCAGTTTTCACGTACGAAGTAAATTTACATTCCATCGTCACTACTCCCCAATTTTCCGATTTATTCTATAACTTTTTGTTTGATCTGTACTAGCATTTATTTTTCCCTCCTTTTACATTTCATCTTTCGAGGATTACGATTGAACCGATGCCTTTGGCGTGGAAAAAGCGTTCCCCCCGTCTGTCGAAATGTCGTACGAGCGAGCGATCAAAGTGTTTGGTATCCTCTCAACCTTTTTCGGCAGCTACAGGATAAGGTGAGATAACGGTAGTGAAGGATAAACTCGAAAACACACGTTTGAGCCGAGAACGACGAATGTAGACACGGGTAGGTGAGAAAACACACCTTGTAAATTCCCGAAATATTTTCCTTGGGAGTCAACAGAGTTCATCCCGAGTGCCACACCTCTCATACTCCTCACTCTTTTGCTACTAGTACCGTACACATGCCCACGACACAGTCTTTGATCTAACATTTTCAACATCAGGCTAAATATTGGCTTTTCTCGTGCTCTACAAAATTTACAGTTTTCATTGAGAGTGGAAAACGGGGAGTGGAGTAAAACCAAGTGCAAGTGTACACCACTGGAATTTTTGGTAACTCGATAGTCCAGTGGTGAAGTTTAACGCGAGACATACGTACCGACTGGATTACTTCCGGCTATTTATTTCAGTCCAAATGCTCACGCGAATTTCAATTCTTTGCGAATTTCAATTCTTCTACAATAAATTTTGCAATATTTTGTGATATCGAATAATTAATTGCATCAATTAGAATGTATTCTACGCTCCTTGATAATTCGTAGAGAAATTCCTCCCCACCCAATTAATCATATGTTCACGTCATATGTTCACATCCTGATAGAAAGAGAGAATATAGAAATCCATAGAATTGTCAACGCCGACAAATAAAACGATTGAAAATGTCCTCGCACAAAGTGTCCAATGAAATTCGTGTAAATGTCTCACGTGGTGGTGTTGTACTAGTCGTCGTTGTACTGGGCGTCGTAACACGAATAGTAGTACTTGTTGTACTAGGTGTTACTGTTGTACTGCTCGATGCCTCTGACGTTGGTACAGCATGGGTGGAAGATCTCCTTGTCACATCTGGAATAAAATTGTCCTCAGCAATGGTCTCCGTAATCGTTGGCTCAGTTGCCAGAAACGTTGCTGTTGTGCTTGCCACTTCAGTGGCTGCTGTTGTCCTCGGGTGAGGATGATGGTGATGCTTTTTACGAGCGTGAAAGTCCTTCTGCGAGTCAACTGCAATTGGATAATGAGATAAATTTCCACCATTAATCTTTCACCATGGAAATTGGCTGGATAAGTGAATCAAGATGCCACTGGTGGGGATACCACGGAAAGTTTTAAAGAGGCTGAAGAATAAAACCCTGATGAGTTTAACAGTGGATACCACGCTGAGGATGCAGGCTGGAGCAATTTCTCGGTATCTAAATGGCTTATCTAACCTGGTGAATTCAACTCCAAGGGACTTCCAAGGCGTTGGTTTTGAGAATTGTTGGGATCAATAACTTCCCACCACTCACTACACATTCTGCGAGGTCATTGCAATAATGGTTCATCAGAATATCGGAATCTGTGTCTCACACTTGAAAATCAATAGGATAAAAATAAAATCATCATCTCTTCTTCTGGAATTTCATAAAATTTAACAAGATAAATTTTTCACCCTCGTTAAAAAATCATTGACCCAGATTCAAGTATTGAATAATGCACAGATGGAGGCTATAAGAAGATTCTATTGTCAGTCAACAGATGAATTTAATGATCGATTTTAGGGTTCACGTTGGAATCGCCCTACGACCAAGGATTGTCGTAACACGTTAATACCACAGGGGACACAGTGAGATGGGACTAAAGACGGTTGGAGATGAAACTTAGACACATCCCACGGGACAATATGATGGGGCTGGGTGGCACGTGGTACTATTACGATCCTGAGGAGTCTGTTGTATGGACATTATTAACTCACCCACGCAGGGATTAACCCAGAGGAGACGCTGCCAGCCGAGGCAGTCGTACATTTGCGTCATGTCAGTGCCCTTGCAGGCGCAGTTAGATCTCAACTCAGTACCGAGAATTCCAAGCATTGCACGTCTGCAATCAGCCGGTGGTCCTGCACACTTTTTCGTTAAGCTGTCTACCGCACAGCTCTGCTCGTAGTGCTCCAATTTATTTCTGGATCATTGAAGGAACAGCACATTGACTATTGAATAAACTCATCATTCACTCGCAAAACTTACCTGCATGCTCTGTCCTCCTTGCAGGCTTCAGCCAGACTGTGACAGGTTGGTAGCTCAGCAAGATCATGGCCCTGAGCACAGACTGGATGGGTCTTCTCCTGGGCGATCATGCACTCGTCCTGCTTGTCCTGCGTTTTTCTGTTAACATTAAAATGACGTGAAGGCGCACGTTGGATGGAATGCCCAGAAAATTACTGACGCCGACAAAATTGCCTGGGCCTCAAATCCCTTGGCGAACATTGTTCACGATGAATCGAAATATAATGAAGTTGTAAAATATTTAGGTGAATAAACCTCAAGTGAGAGCCTCGCGGGAATCTCTTGTATGGCTAACGCAAGTGTGACTTGTACGGTGCAGCACGTCACAGGAACTCCTGAACAAAACGCTAAATCCGTTGAGGATCCATAACAATAACCGAGGAAAAATGGGAACAATGGAGAGTGTAGCTATTATCAACGTGGTATCTCGTTCATTGTGAGGGCAACTCCATTGAACACCCGAGGCTCATCAGAATAACATCAACTCAACACTTGAGTATGAATAACAGTAAGAAACACTATTGAATTCAACCAGTGAAGTTCGAACCTTAGCGAGAAAATCAGAGATGATTGAATTGAATGGGAAACATCCTTGACAACTTGAATCATCAATTCTTTCTCGTGGCTCGAACAAATTGGTCAGCTAAGGCTGGTTATTTAGTGTCATCACCCCAAATAATCTTGTAATTCACCGTAAAGTATCAAGATGGAGAGTTGTCTAGTTAATTGGTTACGTATAAACCAACGATACACTCGGCAATTCGTTTGTCTCAACATCGGAGTAGTGTAACCCACTCGAAATTGTCCAACAATAAACCATTCCTTCTCGTGGCCTCCACCTTCTTTTTACCCAACTTTTATCAAAGTATCCCACACTCGTGCTGCCTCCACAAAGTGCCTCCTCAACTCTTCAATGAATGAGAACTATTACTCACTTGCACAGGCAAAAAGCAATCTCCATGGAGTGTCTGTCGTTGGCCTTCTTGTAGAAGTGCTGAAGGGCGTTCATGCACTCGTTACGTGCACAGCTGGCCAAGTCGCAGTGATTCAGCACCGGTTGAAATAAAACACTGCAATTTGTGTCATTTCTAGAAATAAAAAAAATATAAAACAATTCAATTTGTCGATACCAATGGAATTTCAATTTCAGAGGTGGTGAAAAGCTATTGTTGAGATTTTTTTACCTGCAAAGCTCGAAGGCATTGTGACACGTGGTCGTCAGAACGAGTTTCATGGGCTGGTGGATGATCCTCTCGGTGTCAATACCCGCACCACTTGGATCTGGTGAAAAGTTTAATAATTCATGGCGACCCTATACGCTGGTTTGAATTTTCAAGCCAAATACCAGAACTTGTTTGCATTATTTCGAAATGCCGAGGCTCCAGGGAATTTGTCCAAGAACATTTTTTTTTTCGCTCGAATTCTGATGTATTTTCAACATTGATAATTTAGGAGAATTTACGGGGGTATCCGTAAATCAATATCAAGAGTAAGTTTCTCTACTTGAGCTGGTGAGTGAAGGGGTGAAGGGTTACAAGTAGTTATGAGATTCCTATCAAGCTTGCTAGTCTCTACCACTTCACTTGTGAATTCACCCAACGACTCAGAATCCATCGCCAGATCTTTCCACAGCGTTTGGAATTCTCATGGACCCATTGATCCTGCGGAAATCTACTCTCTCATCATCCCCCTGTCCCTCTCCGGAGTGCATACGAAGTGTCGATTCCCTGTTCCACCTAATGGATGATTCTTCCTGGAGTATATTAACCCGATCGATCGGAACCCGGTGAATATTGAAGTGACTCAAGCCACCACTCAGATATCAAAACCGTCTGGTCTATCGAGCTGGAGAGAAAAATGAGTACCGAGCCCCAAAAGCCCGTCGGGAATGACTGGTCGTAAGTTTTCTAGAAGTGCGGTTGGATTCGACGCGGTTTATTAAGACAAATGAGCCTGATTCCCCCAGCCCTCAGTAGCAAATTGAGGGAGGATAATGACCCTAATCATAGCGCCATCAAGTACCGAGGGTCAATGCCATCAGGTAGATCTTGAAAATGGAAAAAGCTACTACCAATTGTACAATCGCAGAAAGCATTCAGACAGAATTCAATATACCGGGAACAGCCTGAGGAGATTCATTGTTAAACGTTTCACTAAGAATTACATTTCAAGTTTGTCTTCGAGGATATCCCCGAGTCAAAATGTAAAATGTGTATATCAGTTGTATTAAGACGGAGTTGATCATGGCAAAAGCATGCCAAGCGCAGAGACGCCTGGAGTTAGTCTCCACTTCACTCACTGGCAAGTTTAACCGAATCCTTGGAGTCACTCAGTTTATAAGTGAGGTATTTCATGAAAGTAATGGAAGACAACGGGAAACTTGGAGGAAATATTTTCAAGTTCACAGATAATCGCATTAACTTAACAAAATCGAAATAACGAGTGCACCACACGTGCAATTACACATGGTAATCAAGAATTTTTATTAATGAGACAATTTCATTGACTCGAACTCTCGCCATCGGACAGTGATGATAATCTTGGCTTTCATTGTTGCCTGAAACAATATTCATCGTCATAATTCTTCGCCAGGACGCTATCGTCAACGATTACGTCAGCTGACTTATCCCCTCTCCCTTCATATCGCATTCTTGGTTACCATTGTGCTTCACATAATATCCACGGTATTCATTAAAGAACAATTAACCTCTTGGAAAACAAGTGGTGTTACACGCGGGAGCTTAATAACCCAGCACCAGAGCAAAATGATAAGGCAGATAGGGTCGGGTTGACGAGAGTGAGTGAGACGGAGATGGGGGTAAGGACGTCAGGGAATTCAACAAAGAAGAAGTGTAATAAGGATATCTCTCTCTCTGGGTTCGTGACAAAACGCTTTGTTGGTTAGCTGGAGGGAAAAATAGAGACTGTTGCGGAGACTGGTTATTCCGGTGATGTTTTCGCTGAGGGAAGGGATGAAATTGCAGTTTTGCCACGTGAATCTTGCGTGGGGTCATTGCAAATGAGAAGAATAATGGATTGTATTCGATTCAACTAATTGGAAAACGTGTCTAGCAAGCTGGTTACGTCGATGGCTCTCTTCTAATCGACTTATTTGTAAAGATGAACAAATTCGGGGAGAAGATGAAAAGGGTGTACGTGATTTGCTCACTCATGGCAATTTTCGGGGGATGTTTGGGGTGGGAAAAGTTGCAGTATCAGATAATTATCCCGGTGGGATGATTTCACCTGATAAATTGAACCTGGTACGATCGTGGGATGATATCGCTCGGCTTTGCTTTAAATTTTCGAATGAAGTTTCTCAAGTTTTAGCGGGTTTTGGGGTGGTGCGTCATCGTGGTAAGGGTAGTTGGGAAATCGCAACCGGATTCTAGATATACGACCAGTGGGAAACGTGGAAATGAGAGTCCACGTTGGGAGCCGCTTGAAATTAAATTAAACTATCCTTCTGCTGGTGTGATAAATCATATTTGTGGAGTACAGGGAGACGAGATGAATATCGCGGACGGCCTCTCAGACTCGGGTTATCGACTTTTTCCACCTTTCACATTCATTTTACAGTGATACCAAGTTGTTTTGGGTAGACGGGAGCTTTCAGTCGAGTGGGAAACTATTGTGCCCCGGATTTTCGTTAATTGCGTTATTATATATATATTATATATATATTTGTAACCAGTTATATTGACCAAGAAAAGAGATATGAACAATTACATTGTTTAAAAGGAAATTAATCGCTGTAATGAGTGAGGATGCGATTAGAGGAATGAAGTAAGAAACTATGATAATTAAATAACAATAAATTATTGGCGAGATTTATCCCTTCGATTATCCCTAGAGCCTGCAATAATTTTGATAAATACTTTTTCGAAAGTACTTGAGGAAAGTTGAGGACTAATAGAAACAATTTGAAGTTCGGGCTTTGACTTGAATCATGAATTGTTTTTATTGGGTGTTGGCAGTTGGACGAACTCCGCTCAAGTTTCAATATTTTTTTTTCCGGGAGAAAACCGCGTGTCGACGATAATGGAGAGCCTTATATAGCTATTTTCTTCAGGTAATAAAATGAGTCGTAAAATCTCGGGGTCATATGGTCGAGTAATCGGGGAAACATTAAGTTGAACCGAGGATTTGCAGATTTCCAGTGGCAAAAAAAAAAAGGAGCAACAAAATCAAGATCACTCACGTGAGTGAAAAGAACTGGTGGGTGAAAACGGGTTTATATGTACTTGTGAAAAGGTAGACCATAACTAACGATGAGAATCGATTTCACCTCACTTCGGTGAGTCGGGTGATATTGTAGACTTGGTACCTTGAAAGCGGTAACGATCCATCGTATACCTGGGGATCATTACCAGGCGTTCTGAAAGTGCATTTCGAGCGAAAAATAAATCGATCCTATCGCACTCTACCGACGGCGAGTACGGACGACAGCTTGGGTATCATCCTTAATCGAGTCTAGTCGTGATAGAAAATCGGGTATATCAGCAGTGATCGACCAGATGAGAGATATAGAGGTGAAGTCAATCGGTTGTGCATCGTTGACATGCAACTAAGTTGTTGAGAATTTTAAGATGGAGTAACGGCGTAATGGAGTCATTTGGATTAGCACTGGATCAAGTATTTACCCTCTCGAGTGTAAATTCAAATAACTCCAGTACCTCTTGTTAAAATGATGATGATTAACATCGACTTACCATCATGCTCGTCAGTATGATTTCTACGATGATGTGGACGATGCCGGAAGCCAGGCAGTGCAAGTTGCTTCAAAGCATGGAGATCCTGATGATTGGCGTCGATCAATGGATTCTCCAACTGTGACTCGATGATCTCGAAACTCGTCGAGTTGTCAGGATGAGAGATGATTTTCACTGTAAACGCGGGTTCAGTGTATCGCGATAGTCACTAGTGGATATGCGATTGAAATACACCAAATTGATTCAACGAAGAACCAACGACTCTCACCACATCCTCAACCTCCAGTTGGAATCATCAAGTGAGAGCTCTCTGGTAAGAGACAACTCGGTGGAATATTTTCAAAGAAAATACGAAGGACAGATGAAGGTGGAGGTTGAAGGGTATAATCTTCCCATTGTCATTTCACCCGACGATTATGGAACGGAACAATGGGTGAATTCCCACTGGGGTGAGAGTCATCGGTGTCCATTTGGTCTCCACTCACTTCCACGAGAATCAGAGGGGCCAGAGAGGGTGTACAAGTGTCTCAACACATTGTTCTAAACCCGGGCTTTGCCTTTTTCCACCATGAAAACACTCAATCTTTCGTGCACGAGCGAATCGACGTTTGAAAAGAGGTCGGATGAAGTGGATACTATTTTCTTTACGAGTATTGCAAGAGACACCTGGACAATCAAGACAGATAAGAGTATTGCTGGAGCTAAGATACCTCGCTGTTATCAGTTGTTCAAGCGTCATCCCCCGGGAGATAAAGCAACAGTACAAATAAACCAAGGAACGTGAAACATCGAGATGACGAAGCACTCTAATCAATCTCGATTATCGAGGTACCGGGGACAGCTCGATCATGGTGGCTGTCATGTTGAATGTCAAAAAGAGAGAACAAAAGAAATAGGGAAAGAAAAAAACGACCAAGTGTCAGTGTTATGGTGAAAATACCGGACAGGAATATTCGTTACGAACCTTGATCAACAAAGCCATCAAAGGCCTCACGAAGATCGAAGAGACGATCGACTGGCATACCAATGCGATGGCCAAATTCATCAGTATCATCATAACGATTGATAACGATAGCACCGTGCTTGTAGGTAGGTCTCGGTGCATAAACGTTGGTGCCAGGTTGGAGCGGTGGTGCTGGTTGTGCAGGATCATAATTTTTCACTATAGTGGATGGTGCAGGTTGTGCAGGTGAATCGGGATGATAATCATGGTGATGTCTTTCGCGATGATGGTGCATATTGTTGATGTGCTGATTATAATTATCATGCTCGCGTTTGTGATCTGGCTGCTTATCATGCTTGGGCTTGTTGGAGAGGGAGGAAGAAGAAGATAAAGAAGAAGAAGCGGACGGAGACGAGTTAATGCCCATTTTATCTATCCCTAATTGTCTAGTTTTTCCACTGGATCCATCCAATCCTCTCATTTGATGATTGCTGGTGTCTATTGGTGGCTTTGATTGATCTGAATCAGGTGGGGGCAGTGGATTCGGCATTTTACCGTATCTAGTACCAGTGCTACCTGGCAATTCTGGTACACCATAGTGATTACGACCATCACTATCATCTGTATCGTAGCTATAGGTGCGCGATGTCGCGGGGAATAAAAAATAGGGGTACATACTGGTCGGGGGCAACCAGATCTCTTGGAAGTTCTCCTGCTGGGGGTCGAATGGATATAGGGCCGAGTCCGTTCCCGATAGGTCTACGGACGCGGAGGAAGGCAGAAAGTCTGAAACACAGAAGCAGAGACGCGGGCGTACGGAGTGAGTGGAAAATGTGCGGTCTTTCATACTTTGTGTGCGCCATTATTCATGATATCGTGTGATGATGGATTGATGATTATGGAATGATCAGCGATTGACTCGGGGAGTGGAGAGGTTCGTTACACCTGGGAATAATAGAGTGGCTCCTTTTTTTTTATATATATAAATGCAGACCCGTGGGCTCTCAACAAAAAGAAAATCGTTCTCGAGGGCGCCAAAGACGAGGGCTTTTAAATTGAATTTTCATAGTGAACGACTCGGTGGGTGTTCCCGCGAGTCCCGACCTCGTTTACTCTACGTGAATACTCCCAGAAATTACTTTGAAATTTGTACGGAAAGAATTTTTCATGGGCAAGCTGAAGTAAAAGGAATGAGCCAAGATGTGTACAAATAAAAATGACGAGAAATATGAATAAATGTAACGCGATTCATGCCTGGTCTACACGTGTCGCTATGGAAATGAATATATATTTTTTTTTTTGACGCGACACGTACACATCTTCTTTCCCCTCCTCAAAATCCTCCACTTGGAGGCCCTTCCTCCACCGTTGAGTGCCATAAAGTGTCACGAAACTTCATTCTGAGTCGTCGCATCTTCAAAACTTTATATCGGATTTTCAGGAGTGAATAAGACGAACGAATTTGAATAGCATCAAGCATCGTGATGGCACTCATACCCGCTTGGATTGTCAGGACCTCGGGGTTCACCCTGTACCACGGTGTTGCGACTTATTTTGTTTACGGTGTTCGTCAAATAGTAAATTCCCGTGGGCAATTTTTCATATCAACTCCCGTCACTTTTACGTATCATTGTCATTTTTATAACTAATTGAAAAGCGGAGCGATGAGATATTGATTGGGATTGGTATGATGAGATGTTTTGCGGATGAATGTGAATGATTGATGTGACGAATACAAGATTGTTCAAAACGGATAAGAGAACGGATAGTCAAGTTGACAGTAGAAATACACATGCATGGATACGTTCTACACATAATGCAACACGAGTTTGGAGATAATTCACGCCAGACGGATTTTCACATGCTACTGCACAAAGCATGCGGTGCTGGTCTCGTTTGCTCTGATGATGATTTCGAATCGATCGAACAGTCGAAAAATCGAAATAGAAAAAATTCCGGAGATATTCCTTTGTCGTAAACAGTTCGCTTTATCGTTACTATTTGCTTTCACACTGTTATGCGTGCCAAAGTTACAAGAATCCACGGAATTTTGGAGCATCGGAGCATACGAGTCGCATCGTTGGAACGATGCATTCCTCATGTAATAGAAAAAAAAAACAAAAAAAAAAATGAAAGAATGCTTTCATCAAATGAAACATCACAGGAATGTCACGTACCCGTGCTGTCATTTTCAAATAAGCATTTAAATAATCATGATCGAGAATGGGAATGAAACGTGAAGTACTAAAATTCTCAGCGTGCGTTGGATATTTTTTTTTATTTTTAAATTTCACTAGGGGAGATGCCAGTGATTTCGTGCACACGTGACGTATACATTCTGGATGTGCATTTTGGTATCCATCCCCCGATGCTTATTCGAGCTTATAACCACGTGGGAAATGGTGTAAACATACTCGATGTGACACGAGATGCGTCGACTGGGAAGGGGATAAGGCATTTTTAGCTCAGACATCGGTGGATACCCGAGAGCCATACGATGCGACAATTTTCATCCCCAGTCTCACGGACGATATCGGAAGTAACGTTTTGATGGAGATGTTTAATCAAGTGATAAATTACATTCACATCTTCAAGCTCGGGTTGCTATGCTATTGCACGATCACTGCATCTGTCATAATTAGATGATTTGCATCGGCTTTCGATCGACAGCCTAGCAGTTTTTTTGTTGAGGTTCATTATATTTTTTATATTTTTTTAGTGGAGCAATGAGTGGTGACTGATTGCTTGTGAGACGACTAGTTATTGCGGCATTCAAATTATCAAATGGCGTCATTGTCACATTTTGCAAAAAAAAAAAAAAACATTCAATGATTTGAAAATTTTGTGGCTGTGGCGTTCCAATTGTGGGAGAATTAATCGATACGATAATTCGATTTTTATATTGATCCTGGAATTCAGGACTATTTTCGGATGGAAGTGAATTCTTTTGGAAAAAAAAACATTATCCCGTTGAGGTTGCCACGGGGCACTCATTCATATTCATACTCTACAGCTGTGCCTCGCACTCGGGGTGAGCAGAAAAAAATGAGAACACGATGAAAGAAAGGGGAAAAAGAATTGCGTCGAATTTATTTTTGTAATAAATTTAAATTTGAATTGGAATTTCTAAACTGTCGGCTCTTGAGAAATGAATTTTTTTTTTATCGTAGCAAACGGTAAAAATTGTTTGATGGAGCAATTTCGGAATTTTATAGCAGTGAATTCAATTCAGTCTATGATACGAACGTTCAGACACATTTTGGTGAATCGTATTGAATTTGAATTTTGGGGAAAAAATTAATTATATGAGATGATTAATTATGGAGCAAATAAATATTCACACAGGCGATGAACGTGGCAGTAGCACGAGCTCGCGTTACTTACGGCCAATCAAGTTGGTTCAATGCATACGGCAATTCCTAATGACGAAATGCAATTAGTAGCATCTTTGATCCTCAATTAGTAATTATTGTAATTGAACCTATTTCTCAGATCCCATTATCGAAATATTGAGAGGAATTATGAATGTACAAAAATCGAGGGAAGTAATTGCATCAATTTTTGGGTAAAAATTTTCGAATAATTTTCGCGAATTGGACTGGAAATAGAGTCCAATCACCGATGAGCTCCTGGAAAACTATTCCATGATGGATCGAAGTAATTACATTCAGAAACGCATCGGCGATATCAATTGCGAACATGAAATGGTGCATGAAACTCTTTGATCATATCGAAATTTTGGATCGATGAGAATAATGCGGTGCCAATGTGATTTCCGTAATACCAGAATTAATTCGTTCCGATGGTAATTAAGGGATAAATCGATTTGGGATCAAAGATGCTTTTACTGAGATGATTGAAAATTCAAGTGACACGTAACTGAAAATTGACGGACTGACATTGATAAAATAACTAGAAATAAATGAAATTACAACATCAAATATCGTGACGAGATACTAACATTATCCAAATGTACTCATAATAATCATTCGTCGTGATATCGTCAGGTGTTCCCAAGAATTCATTCTAAAGACAAAGGAGTTAACGGTAAAAAAATTATTTAATCACTTACCGACGCAGGGATTATGATTAATCATTGCGAATATTTTGTCGCATCGTTTTTTCATTTGATTTACGGGACATATGCAGCCAAAAAGCGGTGATAATCGGAGTTGGGTCCAGGCGTCATGGCAGACCTCTCTGTGAACATAATAGCAAATTAATTAAAATATTCAGTGAAAAAATATCGTAATAAAAAAAGGAGAAGACAAATTTCGAAATATCTCGAATGATCATAATTTTGGAAATTTTGTAAATCGCGTTAATTTGGAAATTAAATCGATTTTTTAGTGAGGGTAATATAGAGAGAATCATTTAATTTATAATTTTCTTTTTTTATCTAAATAATTGATTCGGAGAAGAAATTGCGCCTCAATTTAATTGATGGACATTGGATTCGGCCTCAGAGTCACGGACATTTGAAAAGTCTTTGGTGACACGGGAAACAATTCGAAAAATTCCCATCGCAAAAAGTAAGTTAATTAGTCTAATTATCAGAGCAGTTGCGAATGACACCGACGTAGGAACTATTCCGAGAACTCCCCGAGATTTGAATATCCGAGCCTTTCGGAATGCGGATTATTCCGAATGGTTCGCTCTATCGATTGCATGCGAATGCAATTAAATATCTACGAGAGGATTTCTGAGGATGATTACAAGTGGCTCTCACTGCATCGGTCAATCCCCTCGGGTGATTTTTTTTAACAAATAAATTCGAAAAATGGACGGCACTGGATGTAATGAAACCACTGGAATTTTCAGGACACGGTAGCATCAACCGATTGGGAATTTCATTCTGTATTTTCCATATCCAATGAATTTGAAAATTGAATTCTCATACATATCTGTCATTTAAGCGTAGGAAGTAATAAAATTGTACGTGAAGGAGAGGGGGCGATAAGAGAAACGTGAGAAATGAAAATATTGAATGAAAGTGATGAGAAAATAAACGGGAATTGCCGCGAGATAAATCCAGTAAAGAAAGATAAATAAAAAATCATGGAAGATGAGAAAGGCCGAGTGATTGTCGAAGTTTGTCGATTACTCTCGGCGAGTGGATAATTTGTTCCATAATTCCACTCTCGTCATGAATGAATTCGATTCTAGTACACTTGCGAGGATGAAATTAAAGCCAAGATACGAACGGACATATTTTTTATCCTCAAGTCCCGCGCTTTGTTGCAGACAACAATATTGCCCCCTGACACGGAGAGAAAGATTTATGAAAACGCTTGAAAAGTCTTTCCCCGAGGAAGATTGGCGCTGCGTTCAACTCTCCTCGTACGAGAATTGATTGTTTTCCTCCGGGTAATGCTCTTGAAAAATTGCAACAAGAGAAATGAATACGCTCACCGCATAATGACAATATAATACCGCCGAAGACCTCTCAAATCCACAATTAAACAGGACTCAAGTGCACTTGGTGCCAGTGGTACCCTTCAGGAATCACAATTCACGATCTCCGCGGTATTTTTAGAAAATTTTTGATACGGTTAATTGAATTGGTCGTAGTTACATGCTGGATACCTGAAACCAGCTCCTGAAGTTTAAATTAAACTTGAAGTCGAGGAGAGGATTTTCACAGTGTGATTTTCCAAGCTGTTTATGCTGGATGGTATTCATGGATGAAAATTTACTGGGGAATCATGATAACCGTGATTTATCAGACACTTAAACGCCACTGGAGGAATCCGCATGTGATTTCCATTAATGCAAAGAACCACTTGAATTCGAATGACCTTATTAGTGGATCGACGAGGCATGTCAGTATGAAAGAGAAAAAAAAATGGAGGAAAGGGATGACGTTGAGAGGATCATTAAAAACTTCCAATAAGCAAAACACGGAGTAATTGCCTCAGTTTACGAAGAAAATATAAATTTATGGAACTCGCCTGGAATTGATTGGCCGCTTTCCCGGTGGCTTTAATGATCATAACATAACTTCTCCACCGACTGTTGGTAATAACAAATGAGAATAATTGAAACGTTATTCACAATCTGCATTAATTTTAACATCCAATTATCAATTGTGCAGGAGAATTATTGATTTCACTCAAATAAAATTCATTTTAAAAAATATTGCAGCTGTTTTTTACGAACACGATACGATTACGATAGGTAGTTGATGTAAATGTTTTTGCGTGTGTTTATTTGGGGGTGTAATTGAGTTTGAAAAGTTATTTTGCGGTGAAATATTGCGCAACCATAACCCGGAAAACATCACATACGGAATGTGAGAATTTTCCGCATAACGACAAGGTGCGAAGGACAAGAACTTGCGAGGGAGTAAATGTACATCCTGCAAGTACATTCATAAATATATGATGTGCACATGTCGACGGGGCATTGAAGTGGGAATGAGGAAGAGGTGAAGCCGTCCTTATGAATTTTAATGGGGACGTATCGTCACGTGATAGGCGTAAGGGCCATACCCCAGTGACATATCTGAATATATAGCGAAGGCAGTTTCAAACACATGAACATTGTTTGGGCACTTCGATATGTATACGACACACTAAGTCACAAGTACAATTCCTTACGCCCTGGGCACGTGACATAACTTGATGAATTTACAGCCGATCGTTCTGGTCTCTATCAAATACGCCCGACTCCATCCACGGGGTAACGATCAATTTGTAGGATACCGTATTGCATTGATTATGAAATATCAATTAATCGGGTGCTTTTAGAAAAAAATATCTTAGCCCAGGGGTAAGGGTAATTGAAACAATGTTAGTTAACGATTCCCTGAATTGTTCGCTCACTTTTTACGAAATATTTGAATGCGGAATTTTAAAGCCAGATCTTCAACAGCCCAAATACCCAACAAAATTCTCGATATTATTCTGCACGTCCCTGGAAAACAGCTTTGGAACATCTGCAGTAGCCAACGAAGCGTCAATCCAAACCCAAAACTTTTCCCCATATCCAACGAATTCCAAATTCCCATACTTTCCCAAATAGTTGACTCTCAATTTTCTCTCATTACCCTGCCAATCGCCAAAAAAATTCCTGGAGAAAAAAAAAGGGAAAAATCAACTCCGGAGACAGGTTGAAAAATTCATGAGAAGATAACAGAAACCGTTAATTGTATTTCGTTAAGAGATAATGAGACCGATGGAACGAGCCCGTATAATTGAAAACTCCAGATAAAAATCATCAGACCATTATTATTTCTCGGTTTTTAATTAAACCGCCGGCACTCGCATATAAAAGAGTGATTAAAGTCTACTGCACTTCAAATAAGTAGAGCATATTCCCCTTTTAGGGGCATAACGATGTAATAAGACGACACCCTCACCGCGAGTGAAGGTGTGGGCAAATATCGGGACACATAGACGTTTAAAGGTCGGAGTTACGCCCTTCAAGGAGCAATTAATTCTACCCCACCCTCGCATTATTTGTCATACCCGAGGGAGGGGAGGGATCGAAGAATTTCTGGAATTTACGTTAGCAATTCCCGTCAGAATGAATAATTGTCCCCATCCCAGTCATCACCGACACCTCTATTTTTACCCGAAAAATATCTCCCCACAAAAGATTATCACATACCCCTCCATCTCTCCCCCTTTTCCCCTTCATCCCTTCCACTACTCCTCGCTTTTCGCGCCCCTCGCAGGTGATGACAGAATGTAATTATTACGTACCACCGAACCAACAAAATTACAACGACTAATTAATTTAAACGCTCGACACACGGATTGTGGCCTCAAAAATATCACCAACTTGAGTAAATTTTGGTTGGACTGCACCAGTAGCTTTTCTCCTATATTAAATGGCAGCGTAAGCATGATAAATCCCAGGGTAATTTAAATATTTCATATTCACCCACAAGGGATGTTTCAACCCCAGTCAAAATTGCTACTCTGAATCAAAACCATCGTAAACATTAAAAATATAACTGGGTTGAGAGACGAATGCTGCAATAAGATGTAAATAATCTTAATGCGTCGTTGCCCTTTCTGAACTCCAGAGTTGTATTTTCATTCGTTTTCAAGATGGGTCACTGGAATTTTTCTGTTTTACTCGTGAAAATACGGGATATATTTATTTAGAATTCTAGATCACCTCCTAGGGTTGAGGAAAATTTCTCAGAATTTTTATACTATCCAGAAAAAGATAAAAAATCAATTTAAAAGGGTCACCCTTCCTCCCCATCCCTCCCCTCGCACTAAAAAAAAATTTCTCCATTTTCATATTTTTATTATTATTATATAATTAATAATATAAACTGTACGACTAAACGCGGAGTCGTCTCTGTTTTCTGAAAAACCTGGAATTTTGAAAAAAATTCCAGGTTTCTTTTCCGGGGTGGGTTCCTGCGGTTCTCCATTCCCCGTAATTTTCCCCATCCCAGTTTTTCCCTGTTCGATCTATTTGAATTCGAGACCCGTCATTTCCGTGCGGATCTCCTCCGAGAGCAATCCATCTCGCGTAAACAATAGTCTGCGCTCAACCCTGGGATGCAATTATTTGAATGGTTCCGACTATTTTTTATTCCCTCCCTCACACACCCTCTCTGAGGATGCTCCGCTTCTGCATATTGTATACCGTCTGCTTGAGTTTACCGCACTGAATTACCCCAGACTCGTTGAGTTACCTTCACCATAAGCATGTAACGCGAAACAGAAGGATGTTATATCGTGGTTCACCTGGTACACAGCATCCACTGTACATGTGCAAAATACCCTTCCACTTTTGTGCAGTGGCATTTGGCTGGTGGGAGTTGTCTCTCTTTTTTCAGCTGTGTATGAGGCGCATGTGGGCAACGTGAGGTGGTGGAGTGGGTGGTAGAGTGGGTGGTAGAGTAGGTGGTAGAGTGGGTGGTTTTGGTGGCAAAAGGTGCCTTCACCGCATTGCAGAATTCCCTGGCCTCCATTTCTAGGGTACGTTTCAAAAAAATACATTTCAACCGAAGATGAAATCATCATATCACCTCATCAGCTGATAATTCTCCGAATGACCACTCGTTCTCAAAATATATATTTTATCACACTGAGAATATCAGGAATATCATACTCTCGGGGAAATAAATTTCCTCAGGATGATGTGCCTCCAGTGGATCAGAAGGTGAACTACGGGAATAAGACGCAAGAGATGTCTGACCTTTTCTGGAAAGACACGGAGATGTCGGTCTCGTT